TGCGTGCTGTAGGTGATAGTGTGCGTGCTGTCAGGTCCTGTGGGTGATAGTGTGCGTGCTGTCAGGTCCTGTGGGTGATAGTGTGCGTGCTGTCAGGTCCTGTGGGTGATAGTGTGCGTGCTGTCAGGTCCTGTGGGTGATAGTGTGCGTGCTGTCAGGTCCTGTGGGTGATAGTGGAGTCGGCTTGTAATAAATATGGCGCATAGCTTCCAAACCTGAAAGCAAATAAACCACAGAAAACATTTTAATCGTTAGCATGCTACAATTCCTATTTTTAGACACTCTCAAAACAGCTTAATGTACACTGCAATCAATTCCAACAGTCAATAATCAGACAATGTTTAGAGGAAATCATTCATAACTACAGTTATTTGTCTCAGCACAAAGACGAACCTAATAAATCCATGGTAACGACAATTTAATAACGTACTAATAATTTGAAAGTGATTTGAAATGTTAACAAAAAAACAGCGACTATCTTTGCGTTAATACCTTCTAATTTAAATTTTACAATCTACTGATTCTAATGTTATTTTTAACAAGGTTGGATTAAAGCAGTTGATCAAAGCATACCATTCAGTTCATTTGTATATCATTAATCTGATTTAATTTATTGTAATTGGGAAGGTGACGGAAAGTTTTAATTACTGACATAGGATTTGATGAATATAATCCACTGTTTGGCTATTTAATATAAATGAGATGAGTTGAAGGAAATATTTTGTACTAAAATGATAGTGAGGAGCTTACAGCACTTCAAACTTATTAGTTCGGGGTACTTGCACATGGCAGATAATTTTAATGAGTGACATGACATTGACATGTTACCTTATTAAGTTTTAATAATTTAAATAGCCACCATCAACAAAATTTACTCAGATCACAAAACCAAATTAGATAAACATTAATATCATGTAAATATACTATTAACCTTTTCCTCACCAGTTTCCTTTTTTCATCACAAATTAACAAAATAGTCATGTTTATAGTCTACATTTACCTTTAAAAATTTAGATAAAAATAGCCAAGTTTTTTCTGAAAATTGACTAAAATTTTGTCTTCAAAAATAGAATTTATTTCCAAAATATTTCCAAGATTAAATGTTTTTATGGTATTTGTAAAGAAGACAAAATGTTGCGAAAGCTGTTGAATGAACACAAATGGATATTAAAGCAGCTTATGCAAAACTTCCTCTGATAGAGGGAAAACAAATTGTTTCTGATAACCCCTCTACTAACAGTTTTGGTGAAACCTATCTTCCTCTGATAGAGGGAAAACAAATTGTTTCTGATAACCCCTCTACTAACAGTTTTGGTGAAACCTATGCTTCTATTTCATCCAAATTAGTCGTGTCCTATCCACACAAAAATCTTGTTTTTTTTCATTTAATATTTCCGGTCATGTAGTATGAGCAGAAGATGGCAATTAAATCCTACTGTAGTGAGTACTTGTAAATGGTAGCCATTCTTAATCTCAAATCTCTTAAATTTGTGAGAAATAACTTGTCTACCGGGGAGAAACAAAACAAAATCTCTCCCTTTGCATTATTTTGTTAAATTCTGCTTTTCTGACAAGCTGTTTTCTTCGACCTCGTTACTTTTTTAATGGAAAAAACAAAACTGGATAG